TATCCCATCAGCACAAACAGTGCTGAAATGTACTGGTATGCAAATATTGGTTACATTTTCTTGTTATGAAAGCCTCTTTATTTCTGGCGAGTGAAAGATATGCTTTGGTCTACACTGAGCTAACAATGTTGCCCTGTATGATGAGATATTTTTTTTTGCAGTTTCCATGGCAACTGTGAAATAACGAGTAAGGCACTGAGTACACCTTGACCCAGATATTGTTTTCAAAATGTTCTGTTTCAAACCAAATATTCTTCATTTGTTTCATAAAAATAGAACAGTGAAATTAGAATTGAAAGAAGTTTCTAGATACAATTTAAATGAACAAGTTAACTGAAGCGAACTTAAAACTGAAACCAGAGAAAACTCACACTTAGCATCAGAAGATAAGATAAGATAAGATAAGATAATATTTATTGCAGAAACGTTCCATTACGGGACAGATGCAATTTTAAAAGACAAGACATTATGATTCATATATACATATATACATATATACAGACATACATAATTTACATTCCTGTAGACACATACAAAAACAAAACAATCAATATTACATATTTGATGATATTATTATACATAAAATGTCAACGGTTGATTATGAATGGGTATTTATTGTTTGAAATTATAGATATGGAAACAAATGCAGTTGATATTGACTGCTTCATTATTTGACAGGATGTAGTGAAATAATTTTTCTTCATGACTATGGACATTTACATTTACATTTTGTCTGGATAATTTTTCAAAGAGTATATTTTTTTCTTGAGTGTGTTTAATACAGTGAAGTAAGTACCGTAGTGTTTTTCGTCATCAATAGTTGAACATGTAGAGCATAGCCTCTGATGTAGTGGGGTTGGTGGCTTTGTATGTCTTCCAAATTCAATATTTAATTTATGGTTACTTAATCTTAGTTTAGAAAAGTGCACTCGATATTTTTTTACTTTACAGTGACTGAGATAGGGTTCTAATTTTATTTCATTTTTAACTATCCTATATGTCCTAAGTTTGTTTCCTGTGCCTCTTGTTGCATTTACATCTTGAAGAGATTCCTTGAAGAGGGAGTTGAATTTAGATTTGATTGTCTCTTTGAATATTGGTGATAGGAAAGCTGAAGTACTCAAATTGTGTTTTCCTAAGAATAGATTGAGCTGGTAAACCCATCCTAATCGTTTTTTAACCAAATAAGTACTTTCTGTAAAAGCGTTCTAAAGTATTATGTTCTTGGAAGAACATACATGGTGATAAAAATTTGCTATTTTGATTAATACTGTGTAGATAAGTGTTTGCAAGAGATATTGTTCATTCTCACGCTGAAACAGAACTGTCAATTAGTCTACCTTCCACCACCAGTTCTTCCCAAAGTCACAAAAAGACTGTCTCATACACCCCAATGTAAAATATTTTCAGATGGATCTGAATACTTGATCCTATCATCGAAGCCACTGATGTTTTCATTTCTCAACTGAAGAAAATTGAAACAGAAAGAGCAGCATCTTAATGTGCCATGTCTACATTTTCCAAAACACATATATCACATCTTGTTAAGAAAAAAAACAATGTTGTTATTTTCTACTTGGTGCCACAATTACAAACATGCCACCAGGATGAATTGGTTTGCCTAAGATCAGAGTCTATAATGAAGGATCGGAAACAAACACCTCACATATCCTTTCTCCTTTTACAACTTTCAGCTCAAAATCAGCAAGAAAATATTATCATGGCAGAAATGGAATGCTAGTTGTGAAATCTTGAGGGTTCCCTCTAAACAATTATAACATGACTTAAAATATATAGTTCCAGATTAGGGCTGGGACGGGTAACTCGCGTACCCGGGTCGGGTGGGTACTGAGTAGGACCCGGGAACCCACAGGACTACTCGGACCCGTGGTTAGTCATGTGATATATAGTTTAATGACAAAAACTATCTAGAACTATATGGTTACACTACAAGTCACCAATGTTCGCATTTCTTTCTGACTATGCACCCATTCCTTCTGACTTTTCATGTGGTTAAATAAAGATATAACTTAAGTCAACTTCAGTATGATCAGATTGTTTAAAACATTATCTGAATACGTTTTGCAAGTGCTGTGGTAAAAAAAATCCCAATCAGACATTTTGTATCTCTTGAGACCTACAGTGGGCACCCGGATAGGGTCGGGTAATAGGGGGGTGGGTACCCGGGTAGTAAATTGGACTCGTCCCAGCCCTATTCCAGATATCTCTTACGGAGCAGTGTGTACCAAAACCAAGACTCCATTAGCCGATCTTGTACTTCCTCATCTTTTCAGCAGAATTTACTCCCTACATTTGTAATGTCATAAGTTAAAACTTTCCCCTCTCACTAAGTGAAATTCAATTGTTTTACTATGGTGTTTTCTTAATTGTTGGGCAGAGGTTTGAGATGAGTGTTGCTTGTACATGTACAGATCTCAACACACGGCTTGATTTAAGGAACTTGATTTAACTTGCACCAGGTCAGGTGCATGTTGACATGAAACCCAGTTGCACCAAGCAAAACCAGGTTGCACACTTGTTCCCTACATTTATCACAGTTAATTCATTGGGTGGTCTGCTACCAGTGTCACATAAATTAATTGCTGTGAGTGAGTGAGTATGGTTTTACGCCGCTTTTAGCAATATTCCAGTAATATTGCGGCAGGAGACACCAGAAATGGGCTTCACACATTGGACCAATGTCAGGAATCGAACCCGGGTCTATAGCGTGACGAGCGAACGCTTTAACCACATGGCTACCCGACCGCCCATAATTGTTGTAAAGCGCAATAGGAACATGTGCAACATAATCTTGAAAGAAAAAAAAAAAGATTGATGACATCAAGCCCGAGAAAGCATGACAAATTACACGTAACACAGAGATAAGTGATGTACCGGTAGTATGGTAAATAATCTTTAGAGGTATTTAGTGAATTCAAAGACTGACTTTGTAAGGATTAGTCAGAGGCAAATTTGAATTTTTTTGCGGACATAAATATTAGGTTGTATATTTCAATAATAGGTTGCACTTGTGCATGTTTTATACAGCTAAATCGAGTCCTGCAACATCAATTCAGCTGGTGGTGTATGTGGGAAGTTAATGATTTTCAAGTGCTCTGTATGTGACTTCAACGTTTCAGCACAGTCCATTGACATTTACTGTGGAATCCCAAACATTTAACGTATTTTATCTCCTCATAAATAATGTTAACAGATAAATTATTCATCAAGATGACATTATGAAATACTTCAATAATTCCTTTGCATCAAAATCTTTGATATTAAAAAACGAATAAATGATTTAAAACATGTCGTTTACGTTAATATGTCGGTCAAAATAAAGTTTGTTATTCTGAAAAATGTTAAACTTGGCCTTACAAAAACTTTTCTCATGTTATCTGAATTACAAAATTTTGAATAAATATTTACGTTCTTGTCATAGTGTCAAATTGTGTCAGTGGTGGGCATTTCATGGCTCGATGACATGCTTGCAACCTGTTCACAGAGCCGGACCCCGATCCATGGTATTTATCCACATACATTTGAATTTCAGACTTTAGTGGCCTCTTTTGTCATGCACTCTCGGAACGTTTGTCGAATGAAGTTTATCTACTAGGTGTTGTCAATCATTTGTAATCTTTTTATAGATTAAATCTGTTATCATACATCGCGCACTGCACATGATGGACTATTTCCAGTGACGATAAAACCCTACCTTGTGGAAAGACTGGATGTACTTAAAGACAACTCAAAACAGTATACAAATGAAAATAGGATCGGTTTAGTACAGTTATTATATAAAACAATGAGAAATCAGGTACGTTGATTTTGTTGGATGGAAAACTTGCAGGGCCATTAACCCCCACCCCCACGATGATTATTATATCAACTTGTACAGGTAGCTATCACTTGTGGCTTAATTCAACCGAGTTGATCTCTATGTACATTAACACATTACCCCATGCATGAAGTCTTTAGAATAAAGGAACAAGCTACATTAAGTATTCAGTTGGCACTGAGAGGTACGTGAACATGATACTTTATATGGATAACATCTTCACCATGTTTCATTCACCTGATGAAGGGGCAAGAAATAGCCCAGAAACACTGTGACAAACAATTAAAAACGTATCATCCATAAAAAGTTTCATGTCGTAATTAACTCCTACTTACCATGCTATATGAAGTGTGGCCTGACATCTCGTATAACATTCAAAGCATACACATACTCTACTGTATCCAAAGGCTAATCATGTACCAGCATCAATATCAAAGGTTACATTTAATTACAGCATGGGGCACTACAGAGAGTTCACTGGGGAAGGCCGGCTGACCTAGAATCCAACTCAAAGTACTCTTTTATCAACCGTCCTTGTCCATTTGTGTTCTTTTTTCTTTTCGTAATCACATATACCTTTGTCCCGGAACAATGACATCAAAGCAGTCTCCATATTCTGTATTTGTTAGTTCATATCTATCTCCCATGGGATCAATGTAAACAAAACGTCAACAATCCTGTCAAACAATAAAACATATAACTGCAACTACAAAAAGCTAAACTTAGAAATAAATTGATTTATTTCATAGCCACCCCAATGACACAAAAAGGTATACCATGATATTTAAAGGGGATCTTTTACTGTTCATGTCATACAGCAACATTGTGTGTGTCATTTATAGGCATAGCTGGCTCAAATTTGACTGATCATAGATACATAAATTTTATTTCAAGTGTCATTGAGGTTTTGTTTGAACTTCTGTCAGTAGGAGTGGTTGGCATGAATACTGGAGTGTGGAGTTAACTTGCTGTTATCAGCACTTCCACATGAAGTGGCAGTTATATCACTCAGGCTTGGATGTAGTATAGCTCACATTCTCCCATGCAATAGTGTTATCCTGGAGGAGGTCAGAGGGTGTGGCAGCTGTCAGAGAGGAGGGGTGTGGTGGGCACAACATACAGTGTTATACACTCTTAAAACTGATCATTGATAAGCCCATACCGACTGTAGATATCTGGAGGAATCAAGCAGACCATGTACGCCATACTGTAACAAATAGTTGTTTACAAATAACATCATGCACTTTCTGTAACCAGAGCCCAGTATTTAGAGCTCAATATTAAAGCAGTTAAGTGGTGCTTTCCATCAGGTGAATGGTCAGAGAAAGTGCAACTGAAATACATTTATGACCATTTTTGTTCACTGCACCTTTATTTGCTCTGCACAAACACACTACTCAATCCTATATTTGCACTGATTCTGAATGAAGATTTTAATCTGCACTATACTTTGCAGTTGTAGAGGGGTTTGTTTACACAATGTGTGTAGTATTCACATGCAGCATAATGTATTGTCTAGAATGATGTATGAAGAATAATATAGCTGTAGTTATATACTTACACATCAACATACAAACGTACACATTCCGACTCACAACAAAGCATAGCACTTACAACATCTGTACATGCATGCTCATAGGTGAAATGTAATCAATGAACATGACAACAATTTAACAGTGTACATGTGTAATTCACTAACCCCTAAAGATGAGCCCACCCCTGAGCTATAACTTGTGGTCCCTGCTAATCCAGGCAAAGAACTTGTTGATCCTGATCGCGAACTGTATCCTGAACCAAGTCCAGAACTGGATCCCAGAGCTGAACTGGACCCCAGGGCAGAACCGGACCCAAGAGCTGAGCTGGACCCAAGAGCTGAGCTGGACCCAAGACCTGACAACAGACCTGAACTAGATCCGAGTCCGGAGCTGTACGGACTGCTGTAGGAGCTCCCATAGGAACCTCCATATAGTCCGCTGGAATATCCAGGTGTGGATGTAGAGGAGTAACTGGGCGAGAAAGGTGTACTTGAAAAACTGGACAGTCCACTCAAACTGCTGCTGGGAAGTCCACCCAGGCCGTAACGGTAGGATCCATACGACATGGTGCTGTTGGGAAAGTTTCACCAAAGTGAGCAAAACTTCGAAAACACGGACTGGAGGTGAGTTACTCCTGGTTGGAAACACAATTCTATCCGATGCTGAGGCAGATATCCATAACCTTGAACACTGGCAGTAATCCACAGTTCCTCATAAACATGGTGAGAAATCTTTTCTGGTAGAAGTGTTGAAGTTTACACATTCGGAGTACCCCAGTCTGAGAGAGCAGACATGAAAAGTCAGTTATGGCTGCTGGTAATGGCTACTACAGCTAGCAGACGTCACTGAGACAGTGTGGCAGAACATCAGAGGGAGGGAATCCCACAGATAGCACCAGCCTACATTGATGAAAGGGAAACCAGTGGGGGCAACACAGAATGGCAACCTCCAGAAGTCATCATCATCAAAACTCTGAGCAAAAGGGAAAGTTTCTGGCTATCCCACTATCATACAGAGGGACATGATGACTTGTACACTTGACCCTTACTCCCTTACTAACTCCAGCTATGACCAAGAAATGGGACTGAAATCCAATCTGTACAACTCAACTGATCACAGATTATCTTTCCACGTCAGTACACAGGGTAGACAGAAAATCTGACTATAAATATCTTCTTCCTGGCTGGGAGGCCACCCTACACCCCCACAAAAGTAGGCAGGCCCAGATAATTGATATGCTGCAGCCTTAGCTGAACCAAACAGAGCAGGCAGCGAGAGGGGAGATATTGGAAGCAGACGTGTGCCTTTCCTTTATCTTCTACCTATGTTCAATATGTCTGCTAGGTCAAGCCAGTAACAAGGTCAAATACTTCTGACATGGGACAAACACTTGAGGGAAATTGCTGTTTGAAACTCAATCAAGCGACCTTATGTATGTTGTGATAAATAATGTTTGGTGAACTCTACACTTGAGTTATGAGTGGCAGGAGCCATAGAAGCTTACAAGTCTACAGCTTAACCTAATCTTCCTCATTATACCATCATAGGTAAAAATAATCACCCCATTATAACAACTATCAATAATTACACTTCTGTCCCAACTTTCACATTTACAATGAATTTACAGAGACTACTTGGTAAACATAAGAACGTGATTTCTATGATGTTAGCAGCTTTGTTCGGAAGGATAGAAGCATGCATATCAAAATGTCAACACGGGATCCATGGTTGATGTGTCTATCCTTTCACCAGTAAGAGATCACTTTCACTGCCTACAGTGAGGACCAGATCAATCAAATTGAGTGTCCACACAATACCGATCTGTGTTGGCATAGGTATCTACTTGACTTACACCACAGTTGACACTGGTCATCCGTGGCAAATGTTTAGCCTTTGAACAGGTGAGTTTAGCAATACAATACCTCCAATGGTAGGACAAATAGATCCACCAAATTACTTTTGTCATGTTCTGAATAATGCAATACAAGTGGCAGCTCAATCACATTCCAGGCCATTCCATACAAGACACTGTGAGATCTTAGAGCTAGACGCTATTGTAAAATATCCAATATGTTAAATATTAAACATATGAGAAATCAAGTCACTCAAAATATCTAGACACAAGATATGATTGACATGTGACATCAAATAGATAAACCTTACATACATTTTATTACCTACACTAGGGATCATACATAATTTTCATAACTTACAACCTTACACTTCATCTCCCAAACTATGAGACACACATAGCAATTGAAATTAGCCTTTTCTCTAAAAGTCAAAATTGCAAAGTTCATTGAAAAATAACATTATTTCCGACAAATATAGCTCACTTATATCCTCCATATTTTTTAAAACCTCTAAGCTATTAAATATGAAATAAGTAGGAGCTACACACTGCACACTGATCCATTGACCAGGGTAATAATGCTTGTGCAATATAAGTACACACATTACTATCATTATCCAGGGGAAGTGAGTACAGCCATTACTTGAGTCAGCACCGGACACCCATTGTTTGATAGCATGAACAACCATCCATGATGTAAAGGTAGAAGGACAAAATCAACAGGCAGTGTTCGACACCAACACTGGTCTGAGGGACCAGTAAAATTAAATATATTTAGATCCGGTAGTCTGGTGTTATTTTGTGACAGTACAAACACTGTCAGTACAAAGATTGGTCAGTACAACAGGCAATTATATAATGGCCAACAATTTAACAGCATATCTGAAGCCATCGTCCACACACTACACACCGACAAACATTCCATCGCAAGACCATATTACCCAGTGGATGTTAAATGCATGCTCCCTCACAGATGGAGGACGTTTTGAGTGAGAGTGAGCAGATTGGCATTTCCCCTCCCACTACTATTACGTACAATAGGATATACATGTGTTACACAAGTCCTATCAAACAGCACTGACAACATATACTTCAGGAAGCAGGCGATCACAGGGGAACAGCTAGCAAGTGCAACGTCCTCCTCTTTTTTCTATTAGGCAACCCTGCTGTTGTCAGTGACAATAGCTTCATATTAGACATCATCAATCTATCAGTAACCCCAGAAAAAGAAGCTGGACAGTAGAACCAAAACAGGGGGATCATTGGTATGTTTGCTTGTTGCATAACGTGCTGCTCTGCAAAATTCTAGCGATAAGACTGTAGCTGATAAATATTCAAATATTCAGACAAACCAGTGTGTGATGTCATGAGCAATGTTCCATGTCTAAATCCTTACAAGATGAAATAAATCTTGCAGAAATAGTTTTGAGACACTCCCTCCTCGTCCTCCTCCTCCCACAGCATCAGGGTCTAACAGTGAGCGCATGAGTGTGTTCTGTGTCTGCTCCTAGTCAAGGGTTTACATATAACCCCACAGAGAGACAAGGCAGCCACACCTGAATTATAACAGGTACAATACCTGGCCACAGCGCTGACTGACACTATCTCCTGCAAGGGAGTCAAGTGCTTGTTCTAACAAGGGAAATCCCTGATGCAATTTAACACCTGCTGTAACAGATTCAAAAATGGTGCAACATGTTTTATTTTCAGCTTAAACATACACTACTAGTGAGTGAGTTGGGTTTAACGCCACTTTTAACAATATTCCAGTTATATCGTGGCGTCATACACTACTAACCACTTGTGATGGAATCTGGAAAATATCATGAGAAGTATTGCCTACAGATACCAAAATGATACAAACAATGTAGACAGAAATATTGCTTCAACCTGCGCACAAGAATTATGTAAACATTATTAAAGTTAGAATCATACAAATCATTTTTCTAAAGGAAGAGAAAATGAATATAATATGCTTGATTGTGACTCGAGGATCACCGCCTCCTTCATTTTGTACTGGGACAGTAGCTGCGGAAAGTGTAACTCATCATGGAACAAGTGAGCATGGTTTCATGCAGGATGATAACGACTTCAGTTACATCGAACCATGTGCATTAATAATAAAGGGTACAAGATTATAGTCACATGACCATCCAATATCCACACTTGTCATAACCACCCAATCCCCCAACTGGTCTTATAACCACCCAATCCCCCTACTAGCCACAACCACCCAATCCCCCTACTAGCCACAACCACCCAATCTCCCTACTAGCCACATAATCCCCTAATCCCCTAATAGTGGGCTGATAACAAGCAAGGGTACAGGGTAAACATAGCCAGCAAGGGTGAGAGCTCCTACTCTGGCCAGCTGTCCCTGGAAACTTGACACTGAAACTGTAATCCTATCAGCAGGGTTAGTCTATCTTCCAGACCCCAGTGCACTGCCTATATGTACTCATCCTCTTTTCAGGTCTAGGAAATCCAACTTGGGAGTTCCACAACACTCATGAGTTTCCTTATATAATTATTGTTATTTAACCTTCAACACAACTGTATTTTGGGGACCATATTTTCGTCTACACAGTGTCAGAAAGAAAAGATGTACAACACCACAAACAAAACAAAAACCAGAAACGATAAGCGTGAGGTTGACTTTCCCACACCTGTCTATAGATCTGCTACTCTACAACCCTGGAAACAAGAGACAACTAAAGCATATTACAAAACAACTCACTCCCACACAAAGATTGGTCTCATTACACATACAACATAAGCAGCTTAATGCTAATCAAGTTCAGCACACCTACAACATGACAT